TATTCTCACTACTGGCATCAGCTCCTGAACCATGGGGACCGACAGACATCTCATAGCCAGCTGACCACAGCCAGATACCGCATTGAACTCACCCAGAACAATACGAATATCTCGCCGGGGACAACTGTCTGCCACAGATGCAAGTTTGGCAGCGTAGACCATCTCTTTCACGTCGAGTTTACAAACATCGGTAGGAGCGTACACATCAATAAGAGACGTGAAGCCAAATGATAGCTTGTCTCAATACCATTATACGCTCATCAACAGGAGTAACCTCTACTACCAAGGGTTGGAGTCTGCTGGAGATGGTCATGGCTACTCCCTGGAGATGGTGACCGTCGCTGCGGTCCTACCAGAAATAGGTGTAGCCACCTACACTGGTGACGCCGCTGCCAGGTCTTCTTACCTCCGAGAGAGCAGCCACCTCAACTCTCAGCCTCCCCAGTTCCCTCGACAGTAAAGGCAACCGATCGTCCTGACGCAAAGGACGGACGTTACAAGCCCCCACCCTGACTTCCCGCTTGAGGTTTAGCCTCGTGCAGTCACTCCGGGTGGATGCCGCCTCTGCCACCTCCGCCGACACTGCCCTATATAAAAGGGGGTTGTGGGATGTGGGCCCCATCATCCACCTGCGGGGTTCCCTAGGGCTTTCCCCCACAAGCTTCACTCCAGGTTGGCGGCTGCCAGAATGTAGGCAGGACGAGTAGTTCGCGTTCCCAGCCTGCGCCCCAGCAGGCGCCCTCCCAACAGGGCCCACAGTCTGCCTCACATGCTGGGTGGGAGGGAATTTTCCCTTCCCAGCCTTTCCATTTATACAGAACACTGCCGATTGGTTATATCTAGGGGGAGGAGGACTGGCAAGGCCCACCTCCCTCAAGCCTCCCATTTACCCCAGGGGGCTTAGGGGCAGGAGTTGTCCACACGCCGGTGGGCCATAACCCTGAACCTCTGGGACCTCCTGTTGCTCCGAGATCCCCCACAGTTTGGCCTGGGACAACAAGGTATCCAATTTCCATGGGAGGTCACGAGGAGGCACTGCAGAAGTCTCGATGCTGGAGAGGCTGTGAACTGGGGGAGGCAGGGGGAGGCTTATGCAGGGCTGATCCCTTTTTCGCATTCAGCTAGCCAGCGGTGGCAGCTGCAAGCGAGAAGGCATACAAGCACTTAGCACGAACTAGATTACCACACCATCGCTTCACATCATCCTGTGTGTGAAGCACCCACCCATATATATATACCCAGCCATATATACATACTACATAAATATATACATATAAATATACATATATCAATATATATGCATATTTATACATAAATATACATATACATTAAATATATATATATATATTATATATATATATATATATATATATATATATATATATATAATATTATATATTATACATTAAAATACATATATGAACATATATATTATACATATGTATATGTACATATGCATATATATATATATATATATATATATATATATATATATATATATATATATATATAAATATATATGTGTGTGTGTGCCTGCCTGCCTGATGAGGTTCCCAGAGAGATCAGTTAGATTTTATAATGCTATAGCTTCAGTTTCAGGTGTAACTGTATCGAGACGTGAACGATCGGGTCGGGTACGGAAGAGGACTCTGCCTACTTGCTTTTGGAGAGTTGTGGGTGGTAGAAGGATGGGGACGTGTGGAACAGGGAGTATTGTTGAGGGTGTAGTATTACGGAGAGATGGAGAATAAGGCTGTAAGGTAGTAATAAGGGAAAATGTGGTGATTGTTGAAGAAGGTTGTGAGGGTAGTAGAGGCAATGAAGTTGAGGAAGTTAGGAGAGTAGGAGTCGACTGGATAATGCACTAGTAGGCATTGAGGAATGGGTAGTAGTTGTAGTCTTCAGAGTCGTGGTCAAAGGAGAGCCTGGGGTTGGGGAGCTGGGAGAGTTTGCATTGGTGGGGCTATTTGATGAAGGGGTAAGCATCATTGCCTCTCATATGGGTATTACATCTTCATTACTGGCCATGGGATGCCTTGACAATGTTGCGGAAATAAAGTCCACCCCTTAGGGTCCCCTTGTGGAGTAAGGGCTAAACAACTAATACAGGGGAATACCATGCCCATGGTTCCCTCAGGCCGTTCAGGACTAGCACAAAGTCAGCCTTTCATCCTTTCAGCACGACTCTTACACCTTAGGAAGTAGATAGCAGAAGGGGTTGGAAGGGAAAAACAAAAGAGCTGGAGGGAGAAAAGACCAACATTAGTTGAGGGCTGGGGCCCTAGGCAGAGGAGATCCCAGCATTGAGCCTCAGTCTCCGTCTCCTAAGCCCCCCCCCCCACCACCCACGACAACAACAGGCAAGGGATTGGAGGGGGGGGAGTAGATAGTAAAAGGGGTTGGGGAAGGGACGGAAACGAAAGAGCAGAAGAGAGAAAAGACCATGCAAAATTAGTTGAGTCGAGGGCTGAGACCCAAGGTAGGGGAGATCCCCAGCATTGGGTCCCAGTCCCCGTCTCCTAAGCCACCCACTACAACAACGGGCAAGGGATTGGGGGGGAGGAGGAAAAGGAAAGGAGATGGAGAAAAGTTCGTGTAAAATTAGTTTAGTTGGGGTACAAGTTAAGAGTGATACCTAACACTGGGCTTCAGTCTCCGTCTCCTAAGCCCCTACGACAACGGGCAAGGGATTAGGGAAGCTCATTCACGTACATGTGCCGATTGTAGTGACTCCCATAATGTATTTCATAAAAGGTGCCCTGCCTACAAGCTTGAATCTGAGGTAGCAGTTCTCAAGCTACACCTTACTCTATGTGAGGTTAAGACAGGAAGCTCTATCTTTTCCACAACTGCCCTCCAATCTTCTCAAGATGTCTCAGCATCTCTCCCCCTACCCCAAACTATCCTACCTCTACTCCCCCTCTCCCCCAGTCAAATTCCTTTCTCAGTCTAATCTGAATACTCCAATCACTACCACATCCTCAATGCCTGCCCTTCCTCCTCACTCTACCTGTCACACCAGGCAACCTAAATGTTTCACTCCATATTCTACCACATACTCTCGTACACCCTCCCCTCCCTCATCCATCCTCCAATCCCTCTGTTCCTATTCCCTCTACATTTAAAGTATTTGCCAAAAGCCAATCTCAAGTTCCCTCACCCTATTTCCTCCAAATACATCCCATCTTCCCCTCCATGTGCTTTGTTTTCTTCGTTCCACATTATCCTCACTACTCCCAACTGGATGCTCCCATTAATCAATCTCATTTGTCACAAATGTCTTTTTCTGGATCCCTTCCCTCCTGCCATTCTCCCTAATACTTCATCAGTTCCCACATTTCATTTCCTGGATTCATCTCCCCCTACTTCTCTAATAGCCATCTTTACCCAAAATTCCCGTTGATGGCTGGTGACAGTTTCCCGTTTACGCCTAGTTTTTGGGCAACATTAGGAACCAAAGACTTTATATTATTATATGATTTTTAACAATTCTAAACATGTAGGTTTACCTTCAGTTTAGGTGCCATTGTCTAAATGTTTCACTATGCAAATGATCCTGCTACTATAGGAGAAAATAAATACTGTTTGATGAGCACAATTGGTCATGATGCAATGTCACCTGCTACTTGGTCCACAACAGTCATGGCATGTACATACTGGGTTAAACAATGTTTCTCTTCCTTCCATAGCCACAGATACTCTCCATTTCTCTATATCATCCAATTGCCCTCCACCCTTAGCCCCCTCCTTTCTTAATGATCTCCACTTTCTTTCATTTGTTCTCTCTCTTTAATCTTTTACTACCATACACTGCTATAATGCTCTATTACCTCCAACAGCTAACACATTTTATCCTGAATGTTAACATTTTGAACCTTTTCTCCACTAATACTTTACCATAGTGCTATATAACCCTTAACGTCTGGCACATCTATTTCTTTCAACCATTAACCATTACATTTAAAGATCACATTTTAAAGTAAATGTACAATATTTTTAAAAATCCTGATCATATATGAAATGAAATTTGCAGTGGCTTGAAATGTAAGATAGTTGCCAACCTCCATATCCACATCATTTTGACAGTACAAGAGAAATATAACTTGAAAGTTTATATCCTCCAGCTACTTTTGCTATCAAAAGTATTTACAGGTATTTACAGCCAATTGTGCTATATGTTTAACAATTTACATTTATCAATTTACATGCTTCTCTAAGACTGTCAGGAAATATACTGTTAGCACAATGTATTCTCTCAGCATTTCTGTTATTATGAGGCCCTCCACTTTAGAAAGAGGATTCATGCCCCTAGGCCAAAACAATTTTTTGTTGGATACAATTTTCAACAATCCTCCACATGCCTGTAATTAGTACATCCCTATTTACAAGAAGAAATATAGCCAAAAACTTTGCCTCCTTATTCCAATCTGGGAATTGTGATGTTGACTGTAGTATTGATTTGTGAAATGTATCTACACATAGATGGCTCCACAAGTACTCAGCTACAAGGGAGTCAATTAGTTGTCTACATGACCTTAGTCTACGTAATTGAGTTTTTTTACAACTGTTAATATCAATGCTGTTATTATTATTATTGACATTATAAACATTACAACATTACTATTATTATTGACATAATGAACATTACAGCATTATTAAGAAAAGTACTAGTGATACAAGACAAAAACTATTTTGCCAAAAATCAAGGGAAACAGGTGAGATGGGTTGGACTAGTACCTGAACTTAGAGAACTTGGTACTTCTGGAACCATTTATTTGTAAATACAATTAATATACAAAATTCTGTTTAAATATTGAAAAGTATAAATGTGCTTAGAAAAAACAATAACAAATAAAATATAAATATAGATAAAACAAAATAAAAATCAAGGTTACTCAAATGTTTACAATCTTTGATCATGTTCTTCACCATTTGTCTTTCTGGCACAAAATATAATCTACTGTGTATTTATACAATACTTAGGCTAAATAATACGAAGATCAGAATTAACATTTTTTGCTATTCCTTTTATATTCAAAAAACTTTTCTTGGACAACTATTAGCTACTATACAAATTTTGTTCAGGTAAAATACTGTGTTCCTGAAGGACAAGCTTGAAAATACACTACTAACATTAGATATTAATTCCAATCACATCATTTCAGTGCCTCATTTGTTTTGTTTGTATTACTCTTTATGCTGATGTGCATGAAGCATATATACAAAAACTAAGGACTGACTTTTAGTTTAGGTACTAAGTGATACAGATTTATAATTTTTATTTTTTGTACCTGCCTAGTGCCATTACAAACCTAATAAATTGAAACTGGGAATCCATGTATACATGCTTTGCCCACTCGTTCCATCTTAACAATTTTATTTACACACTGTTGGCTCCCTCCTTAGTCACCAAGGAGTCCATTACAAGACCTACGAGATCTCACCTGCTTACCCCATTCCTTTAATTTCTGGAAGTTATTATTATCATTACATTTAATGTTAATAACAATAATGATATGATGCTATCAATAACAGCATTAAGAATTTTAAAAATCCAAAAATGGGGTAAATAGATGAGATCAGGCAGACCTAGAAATTGACTCCCTGGTAACTACATGCTAGTGAAAAGTATAAACAAAGTAGAAAAAAATAAGCAGGACAAGGAATTTAAATAGAAAAGAAAAAACTAATCTGGACAGTGTACTTATACTATATTTATACTCTTTTACAAACAATTTCCTTTCTCTTTCTCACATACTATCATCTTTTACGTAGAACAGATGCAATCAGTGTATCTGCTTCTTTGAAAATGATGATAAAAAAGCTGCAGCTTTGTCTTGAATAGTCTCTGCTAACAAGACAATAATGATTTATTTAGATACAATAAATTTCAAAGCTTGATTATCTTACACCAAAATAATAGTTTTAATACTAGGAGTGATGCAAAGTCAAAGCCCTGCACAAAAATTATATATCACAACCCTGCACAGAAAAAATATATACATTGACGCATGTGTGTTTTCGTATATTCTATCAATATATGGAAATATGATTAACTCTGGAGAAAACAAATAAATATGAGAAATAAAACATATCCTTAACCTTTGGTTTCTAATCTGGAATAAAATTACTATGGAGTGTATGGAGGAGGAGGGTGCCCTTCAACTGGTGGGGGAGGCTCCATATCATGTAGGTAGGGCATGTAGGGTCCTAGGGAACTACCTGGAGGAACAGAAAAGGTCTCCATGCCCTCTAGGCCACCCCACTCTTCTACTAAGGGAGCTGCATCTCCATCCTGGAAAATGTGTGCTGGTCGTAGCCAGCTGCATCCCACAGACATCACAGACATACCACCTGTTTAGAAATATGGAATATTAAAATACTTACAAAAAAATTGCATTCTTATCTAGATAAAATTATAAAATAATGCAAACTTTTATGAGATTACAAACTGGTTTTATCATGATCTTATGATCCAATGTTATACCTGCAAATATGAGAAGGTAAAACCCAACATCTAGCTTAATCTGCACTCTAGCAGATGCTGCCGGTCCAGTCACTGGCTTTGTGGCCTCTTGTTGTGTTTCTATCAAGGTAGTAATGTAGTAGCATACACCAACGCACACTACACACACCAAAACTGGAAAAAGTCATGTCATGAAACCCTAGCTTTATATGCTTTTTAACCAAATGTTGGCATGAAAATGTGATATTCACTGTAGTATTGTTTTGTGAAATTTATCTACACAGATGAACAAGGAAAAGATTAAACAGGTGAGATAAGTGGAATCGATGATTTACTCCTTTTTGACTAAGTACATGTGGAGCTATCTGTGTATAAATACAATTAGTAAATTAAACTCAATATGGGTATGGCATGTGCGTGCTGTATGCCATCTCCAGCAGCATCAGGTTAATTTTCTTTTGTTCTGAATTTTGTTCCAAATTAATTGAGATATAACATTTAAGAGGCCCTGTTTTGATCATATATATTGCCTTACTACACTGATCATTACTTGAATATTTAGTTTCTTGAAT